TTAGGGTCAATTGAGTGTCTCCTTATGTATTTGTCCTTTTCTTCAGCATGAGAGTCTTTAGGATTAAGGAATAAGATGTCACGTATGAATACTCAAACTGGATAATGGAAAGCAGCCATGTATCTCTTTATTACTTTGTATTTTTCCTCCTTGGTAAGAAAGAAGCTTTGTTTGCATTAATGTACCTGTTGTAGCAATCGTTTACTTATAGTTATTTTTTTGGGGGTGACTTTATTTGTTTTCTTTTCATGCGAAACTAGTCATTTTCTTGATGAATCCTCACGCCATGGATATTGTCGTTGTAGTCTATATGTGCCATGATTTTAGTTTTGTATATTAAAGTTTGGATTGTTAATAGTATCTTGGATGTACAATCTTAAAAGATGGATAAATAAGCTATATCCATGCAATAACCTCAAATTTAGGAAAAAATAATAATTCTGAACATCGTAGTTTGCTTTAGGCACGCAATTAAATCATTACAACTACGGCTACGGTTCCCGTGACATAGTCATGATACCTAATTCCCAAATTCGGGTATGCATTTCATGTGACCCGATCATAACAACTTCGAACTTTTAATAAAATCGACATATCGCGAATCACGGGTGCATTTCATGTAGCGTGGTTTACGGTGTGTTCCAAAACAAACAAGTGTACGACAATCGTAACTTGTTCAAAAAATAAATCCATAAATCTTAAAAGCGGTTATAAAGTTAAAAATGCACTAGATTTAAAACATGTAACTAATCAGATAATTAGGCCAATTTTAATAGTTTAAGCGACCGTGCTCGAACCACGGAACCCGGGAATGCCTAACACCTTCTCCCGAGTTAACATAATTCCTTATCTAGAATTTCTGGTTCGCAGACTTTTAAATAAAGTCAAATTTCCTCGAATTGGGATTTTAAAATAAACCAGCGACTTGGGACACCATAAATTATTCCAAGCAGTGACTCTGAATAAATAAAATAATCTCATTTCGATTAATGTCACTTTAATTGGGAAAAACTCCCTTATATTCCCCCTCAGGTGGTAAAAAGGAGGTGTGACATTCATATCAAATAGTGTTGTATTTAGAGATTACTAGTGTATTTTCTTTAGAGTTTATGACTCAGTTTCACCGGTTTTGGGAATTACTTGACTGTTGTTCCATTTTGGCTTATTATGATATTTTATCAGTTTAATTTATTATCTTAGTTGTTATTGTAGCTAAATTTTCAATATGTGTTAGGCTTACCTAGTCTTAGAGTCTATCTCTCACGATATCCTAAGGTGGAAATTTGGAGTTATGACAGACATCAAGGTCCAAGTACCATCATCATCAATGTCTAAGTCAAGCTTCAAATAGATCAAAAACCATTCCCACAATTACTTTCTTTCCTTCTCTACAACTGTATATACTATCGGAAAGATATTGTTATTTGGATCAAGCCCAACAACAGTTACAATTAAGTCCCATACATTGGACCCTTAAGTCAATAACCATCCACCCCAATTATTCTTCTACAATCACTCTTGAACTCATCTTTACAACCACTAACACAAATATAGATTATGTGGAACCTCTTAGGCTTGTGAGGCACCTCATTTTCAGCTAACTTCATATAGACTGCGGTACTTGGATTTGTCCTCCTAATTTCATTGCAATAGTTCCATAATACCTTGTATTGATCATTAATATCTCCATCAATCAGTGCAAGTGCTTTTTTCTTAGCCCTTATGCATTGTGATAATGTCATTTGTACTCTTAGCTTTACACTAACACGATCTTTGAATGCACCGATTGCCTAAGACCTATTTGAGCTTATTGCCTTAAGATATCTTTGTGAAATATAAGAAGATGTGATTGATTTGTCACGATGGTTCCAAATCTTACAATCATGAGTGTGATTATATATTCTCATCTGAAATGTATCTCGATGCATTCTTGAAGCTAGAATCTCCCATTTGCAATCTGGATAACCACAAGTTGCTCTCACTCACAAGTTATCATTCTTGCATCACTTAGTGTACTTCCCATCATCTACTTCATGAGTTATTACCGCATATTTGAACTCATGCTTGTTTTCAAATGTCAGTTTTAATGCCAACACTAGTTTATCCCCGTCATTTTTAGGATTGAAATTAGAAAGGTTGAAACTCTCAATGTCAGAGTCACATTCTAAACTTTTTGTATCATTTGAGGCAACACTGAATCACCTTCTTCAGCAACATTTTTTTCCTTAACTTCTTCACTAACTTCGTATCTATATGATTCATATTTTCATTATCCTCTGAAAATTCATTTTGTGAGTCTTCAAAATCATCATCAGTCAAAGAATGCTCGCTATTTACTTCTTGCTCTTGTTCTGCTCCACCAACTTCATTAGCATGTATAGTTTTTCCAATATATGAATCAAGATGATCAAAGTACACTTCAACCACCTTATGATCTGGAAAGTTTTTGGATACAATAATGGCTTCTAGATCAGTAAAAACAAGTCGCATTCTATTCCCATACCTCCCACACTTATGCTAAAAAGTAACAAAATCTCTCTCGTAACCACATAGTTCTGCCATGGATTTGAATTGCGACAACTTCAACTCTGTGTCATTAATTTAATCAATAAAATTTACATGCCCCCAAGAATTAATCTGCTAGGCTGATGCTTCATCGATGTTACTTTTATACTGAAAAAAGAAACCTCATATATAGGGCCTGCCAAAAATATTAAACTTATGTTAGACCTTTTTCTAGTGGAAAGATAACCTAAAAAAAGTTTTGCAACATAATTAATAGCTTATTTTATTTTACAGAGTAACCTTATAAGAAGAAAAAGACATGTTAATGTGGGTGGACTTAAAAGCAAGTGAGCATAGAAGAGCAATTTTGAGGCTATATTTAATTTTAAGATTATTATACTCTTGCTTAGGTTGTGTATAAGGTTTTAACTTTTTGCACAATTACGATTTTCGGGGACAATTTCTGGTGGTTGGGGTCTGCGAAAAATTGGAAATTTCACCAACGATAGAAAAAAAGGGTTACAAATATTTCCATGTTAGAAATAACTTTTTATTCCTTATTGTTCGTCTCTACTCCAATTTTTTTATTCAAAAAGCTTGTGCTATATCAATGCACGAAGGACAGAAAAGATTTAATTTACTAATTTTATCATAATATAATGAAGTTGTCAGGTGTTGTATAAAAATTATAAATAAACTAAAGAATGTAAAATTGAGTCAACATGCAGTAAAAAAAATATAACATTTTCTTCAGCTTGATGAAAACCCAAGTAGTATTCTTTGCTAAAATCTTACCGTAATTGGGTATTTCACTACCATAGCATCTAATAATCATTGCAGAAGATCAACGAGTAAGCTTCTTTACTTCGAATCCTCTTCTTGTTTCAGTCCATCGAAGCTTTTTTCAGAGGGTCAGGATTTTTGGTAAAGTGTTTCTTCGCAAATAAAGTTGGGAAAAAATTGCAATTGGAGTTGGTCTTTTACGGATAGATTTAGTATTTTACAAAGTCACGTGAGTATCACATGGACTAACACCGTTAGTTTTTAACTTGATTCTGTTAGTAAGACTAAAGGTACTCCACTCTAACAAAGTGAAATTTAAAAAGTTAAGGAATTAAAGATGCTTTGAGTCATATTTGAAGGACAAAAATAATCATACTCCCTCACATAAGGGACAATTTTAGTCAAAAACTCAAACAAATAACAAGCATAGATTATCAAAGTAAGTTCAGGTATAAATATCTTCTAGATGGCTAAGCAATTAGGGAAGACATACGGATTCATTAAACTACATTTCTAGAACACGAGCTAGCCAGCAAGATTATGATGCTCGACCTCCAGAGGCCGACAACGGACGAAGTTCGCAAAATAACCAGAAGACACTAGCCAACTTCTCAACATCCTATAACAGCCTACAATACAACTGCTTATTCAGCTACCATCTGCCCATTGTTACTATAAAGGTCTCAGTAGGATCTCCCCTGAAATAATAATCCTCAAAACATTAAAAATATGACAACAGGTCCAACGATCAGAAGAAAATCCAAACGTAGAAAAAGTGAACATACCGAAGAACGAGAAGAAGACATACTCCTGCTTCGGCTGCGGCTTGCTCTGATTAGCTTACGGTGAGGTAGCTACACAGTATCAAAGTAGGTTAAAAGTTTAACAGATTTACAAGATCAAGTACAGAAAATTTTAACTTTCTAATCTAAAGAGAAATGCGAAGGATACAAAAAACTTACTACACTTACGGATGACACAGGAGATCTAGACCTTGATAGAGATCTGCAAAATCCCAAAAAACACCTCAATTCAGTATCAGGCTAATTCTTAGTTCAATAGGTTGTAGAAAACCCTTGAATCCCAAATGAATCTATGCTACTTCTATGTCCACAATGAGACGGTAGCGGAGTAGCAGCTGCAAGCAATTTTTAGTACCATTGAACGAAAAGTCATCAAATCCTACCAAAAAAAATGTGCACCCCAACTGCAAACTTGAAAGGGCCCATACCTATGGGACTACCAGAACTTAAACAAAATCAACAAGACAAACTATTACTATTACTTTTATTTGTCTAACTGATCAAATGACCATCCCATGACCCCATTCAGCTCTCTACTTTTCCTTTTTTATTATTTTGGGCCAAAAGATAATTTTATATATTTACTTAAGCTAACAATCCACCTTGTGGCGCCCACCTTATATAACATATTAAATTTTGATTTACCATCCAGAGTTACCGGGAGGTACTCATCCACTATTACAAGTTACTGCCACTACAAAATGAGTTGGGTGAATTTGAGCACCATAACCATCAATGTCTAAACAAGTAACCCCTGATTGCTGCGAACAGCATGATCTAGGCAACAAAAAAAGTCAATTTTTCAAAATCTTCATGTCATAACCATGGAGCAGAAAAGTCCGTTCTGAATAAACCCCAAAAATAGAACGAGATGACCTATTAACTTCTATTCCTTCCCGACAACAAACTAGAAAAGAAAATCATCACATCACTCTCAAACTGTTATTGTTTCATATCTCTTTTCGGATTCATTTTTTCTTTTGTAGTTTGAAGACAAATTCTCAATTCGAGAGTTCCAACGTTAAAACTATATTAGTAAGAGAGAAACAAACAGCTTGAACCACCAAGAGGAGATTCAAATTGTTTTAGAGCAACTTCTAACGCCTAACCCATTTACAAAGTCCACAACTCAAACTCATCGACAACCAGAAGATAACTATAATTACTGGACTGCACCTTCTTGATGATCATCTATAGCAGACATCATTCGACAAAGAATATTGTTTATAAAGGCATTTGTGTATTATGGTACAAAACATGAGAGAAGATTTCCATATTCTTCAAATTAAACTTTGGCCTACCACAATAAGGTCCACTGTCTTATAAGAAAGAACAACAACAACAGCAACAAACCCAGTGAATTCCCACAACTAGGGTCTAGGGAGGGTAATGTGTATGCATATCTTATCCCTGCCCTGGGAGGGCAGAGGGGTTGTTTCCGATAGACCCTCCTCTCAAAGTAGATGAAAAGAAGCATAGGCCACAAGTAGTAACAACGGGAAATTAAGAAAACCAAAGCGAATGATATCAATCAAACACTAAGTAAAATAGCAATCTACGAGTAAAAGGGATACCATACTAATACTAATGCTACCGGTCTGAGAAAGAAAGAGCAAAACGCTCGGCTACCTACTCGCCTTCTACCCTAATTCTCGACTTCCACACCCTTCTATCAAGGGACATGTCCTCAGTAAGTTCTAGTTGCGTCATGTCATGCCTAATCATCTCTCCCCAATACTTCTTAGGCCTACCTCTACCCCTCCTCATACCCCCTATGTCAAACCTCTCACACCTCTTAACTGGAGCATCAGTTACTCTTCACATGCCCAAACCATCTCAGCCTCGTCACTCGCATCTTGTTCTCTACGGGGGTCACTCCCTCCTTTTCTCGAATAACTTCATTCCTAATCTTATCAAATCTGGTATGCTCAAACATCCATCTAAACATTCTCATTTCAGCTACTTTTATCTTCTAGACATGAGAGTTCTTGACTGGCCAACATTGTGCCCCATATAACATAGTCGGTCGAACTACCACTTTATAGAACTTACCATTAAGTCTAAGTGACGGATTCTTTTCACACAAGACACCGTAAGCGAGCCTCCATTTCATCCACCCAACTCCGATATTCGGACATATAATACTCCATAAATAGTTACATCCACATTTAGTGGCCGTTTACCTACAGGGATTTGGGTGGTTATCCCATTATAGAATTTGGGATTAATTTTATTCAGCGTTTGGTTGTAGGTATTAACTCAAATCAGGATTAAACTTATAGCTATCCCATACAAGAGGCAGGTTTATGATCCCCTTGATGAAATTATAAAGAAGAAAAAAAGGTGAAACAACTATCTTTGTAAATGAAAAATAGTGAATAAACGGCAGACACGACTCAAACACGGAACATGTCACTTATATTAAACACCCTTTACCATGATAGCATATATCTCGGATATTAGTGATATTTTGCGAAATTCCACATATAAAACCAAGCATACTTGGGGAGTACTTGCGCCGAGGACGTCGCAACAATAGGTGGGGGAGAGTGTCACAACCTGCTCAAAAGACCCCCATTTTCCGACAATTGTTCATAGGTTGCTCGATCATAACCAATTTTGAGTATGCCTGAGATTGCCATAAGATCTTCTCCCTCTTGGAAAGAGGCTAATCAAAAGGGGGCATTGCAGCCTGCGGAAAAAGCTCTAGAGCCCCCACTCCTAAGTTGGAGTAGGAAGCAAGGGATTGAGCGCATCTTTCCCCTTTCTATTAGTAGTAAGGTTATCAAAAACAATAAAATTTTGCGCGAAGAGGATTCAATTAAACCCCTTGCTACCATGTAGATCCGCCCCGGCTTCCACCTTGCTGGATTTCTAATAACACCAAAATGTACAATCTTATTTCTAAGGTCATGTTAAGTATACAATCTGTAGGTACCCACCACTCATCTCCTTCCACAATGTACGTACCCACCACTCATGTCCTTCCACCATGGTTGTATTTTCATTTTATTTTCTCTTAACTTAGTTGAAAATTCATGACATTAAAAGAATGAAGAGAGAGATACTTTAGATTGCAGAAATCACAGATAGGGAGAAAGGAGGACTGCTTCAGCTTCATGCACGTCAAACGAAAACTTTCGGAAAGAAAATTTAATCATCAGCTATACAGATGAGTGTTGGAGCAAATCAAGAAAAAAATATATATAAGCAGAACGGAGAATTCCTCATCTAGAACAGTTCTTGAAGAAACAAGAAATCACCGGATACGCATTATCAACTGGACAACAAATACCAACTTATATAGACAGCTCATCAAAGACTTGAAAATTTAAACAGGACAATCTCAAATATCATGACATTTGAAACCATCAAGGGTCACTAAATGCCCATTTCAGTTTCCACATAACCACTATAAGATATAGTAAAAACTAAATTCACAACAATTATAGTTTTGGAAGTGAAACCAGAAAGATACCTTGAAACAGAGTGAGCAGGGGAAAAGGACCTTGAAAGTGATACAGATAAAGAGCGACGAGTATATTTACCCCTAGGAGACACGCTGCTAGCTATCTGTTAGTAAAATGATAAATGTTAAGCACAATCTCAAAAGCTAAATTAGTCACTAAACCTTCTGCTCCGGCTGCTATAGCTTTGTAGGGGACTCCTGCTTCTTGAATAATATGGACTTGGACTCCTCGAGTAGCTACGCCTCTTATCATAATAACTTTTGCTTCTTGAATAATATGGACTTGGGCTCCTCGAGTAGCTACGCCTCTTATCATACTCCTCTACCTGAAGGCAGTAAAAAATAATTAACCTAGTGCAAAAAGAAGCATTTGAACCAGGGTCCAACAGAAAACAGACCTGTATGTAAGCTCGAGAAAATTGATTGCGAAACAGAGAGTCATCAAGTTTCTTTATCTGCAGAGAGAATATTAAAATAATGTAAATAAAGGATGCACAGAAACAAAAGAAGAACCTTTAAGTCTACAGATGAAACAACCTACGATGATTAACAGATTAAAGTACGCGAGTTAAAGGCTTGAGAATCCTACCGCATATTTCATATCGTCGTAGTTGGTATAGTCCACAATTCCTCTTACACCTGCAAAAGTTGTCAACTGTTGACATAAACGTCTTGCATTGAAAAGCTTACAGGTTACTGGGTTCAAAATCAGGATTAGGAAAAGAAAGATCTTTTCTTCAAATACCAGAAGCCTTACACAGATGAGTAGTTCTATTTAGTTTAACTGACTGAACACTCGGCTTTTTGGCTGATCTTGGGCAGTATAAGGTTTGTCCTCGGATAATATTTCAAATGATATTACTTGTTCTCAAGAACATCTGTTTGACTGTTTTTACTTCTTTATAGCTAAGTTGCTCTGATACGGCAATTTAGGTGCCGCACCCTTGTCGACACTAGTATGGGTGTGGGTATGGGATCTGTACCGGATCTAGTCAAAGAATTTTGGGTACTTTGACCATGACGGACGAAAAAATTCGAGATGAGATACAATTTGATTCTCGAAATCAGAACCAAATCTAGGGTAAATTTGAAGAAAATAGCATACCTTATCTAGGAAATCAACCCTTTACTTATCTACAACTAGAGAATAAAAAAGAAATCCACACTTAACATGCTATACGTAAGTATTCCAAAATATTTCTCATATTTTAGAGATATTATATTTTTGAATTACTTTTAGCCGGATCCCGGCACCCATATCCGTACTAGGATCCGTATCCCCGAATCTAAGAATTTTCATCTCGAAGGATCCAACCTCTAGATCTGCATCCGTGTCCAAGCAACTTAGTTTAACAGGCATGCTAAAGATACTTCCTGAACCATTTTAGTGTTTGCTGTTTTTTTGGCACGATTACGCATTTCCATGTGAAAATACCATTATGTATGTCAAAAGCAGTCAATAAAGCTTTAGCAATTAGAATGTTGTGAAGATATAAAGAAGAAACATCTGAGTCATTTGCCCAACCTATAGGAAACTAGACGTATTTCAAAGTGATTAAGGTAGCTCATACGGAATGTGCTTTTAAAAAAAGGGGCATGTGATTTGTGAAGTAAATATTCCCTTCTCACCAACTGCCGGATGTTGAAATAACAGCAAGGATGCCCCTGCTCTCTTTAAGTGGAATCAGGCTGAGCAATCTACTAAGAAGATACATAGGAAGGAAAACTTTTGTTGTAAAATATGTGATATAGACAGTTCTTGCCAAATCTAAAAAAAATAAAGGCTGTATTTAAATGATTAAGGAAAGAAATTGACAAGATTGAAGAGTATATACAATTATTATTCGCTGCAGTCACTGAAAAGAGAGTGCTAGTACCTACACTAATAGTAATTTTTAGTTGTTCTCCAAAAAAAATCAGTAGTAGAAATTTCGGTGATAGACTGAAAGTTTATGTACAGTTTTCAACACCTATTTTTGCCCCTCACATTAGACAATAAATTAAGCATGGACATGACCAAAGTGCTGGTGCTAAAAGGTGAAGTATAGAACGTTAATAGTGTCAAAAACAGAACAGATCAATGCTCTGGCAGGAGATACCTCATATCAGATATCACGTCTGAAAGCAGGATGGTCCACTTAGAGTATCACTAAATACAAGAAGGAAAAAAGAGAAGATATAATCAAGTTAGAAATTTCCAGGAACAGGGAACATCTAGGGAGGTTCGCAAATCATCATTAATAGCGTTAGCACCAAGATATTTTTTTTTTTCTAATTAATGTTATCATATAAGCTGAAGATATAACAAGCAACCTCCAGTCAAAAAGCCTGTGTTACGGGTCTTTCTTTCTGATATACACCAGTTTTGAAAAATTAGCAACCTAACTAACTTACATGTTATGATATCCACCACTGTGTATCTAACTTCCCTTATATATATTGCTTAAACTATTATCATTCTTATATAAGCAGTGCATATTTATATCCCATATCATTGCTATAAGCATGAATAAAAGCAAACTGAAGAATTGTCACAAGGAAGCATCTACTAACCATCACGGTCACGGTAAACTTGAGAGAAACAAACATCTCCGGCTCGACGCATGTGATCCTGCCAAGGCCAAGTTTAAGCCAAACTAATCAAAATCCTGAGCAAGCATAGAAATCAAAAATCAAAACATGATATCACATGCCAACCTTCAAGTCTTGCCATGAAGCAGAAGATGGTAGTCCGGTGACGAGAACTGCAAAATTTAATTCTTAGCCGCTGATTTTGACTATAAAACTTCGCTGACCTTAAGCAGTTACAGAAATATGAGAAAAATATTAAAAACCAGGCTAACCCCGATAATTCGATCGTCTTGAAGATCCACCACGACTCCCACTACTGTGACTGCTATAGCGATCATACGATGATGATCCTCGCCCACCATGTGCAAGTTCAACCTGTTGCGGAAGCCAAATGTATATAGTGTGAATAAGTCACAACTACTATACCAAAAATTA